CCCCCCCCCCCCCCGATATATAGTTAACAAAGGCACTGGAAACTATAACTTGCGACGACTTGCGTCTCGTTTGATCCTGGCTTAAAAACCACTCTAAAAATGGCTTGCGTACAAAAATGTAAGGCTTAAAACGCAATTTGAATCCATAGGGTGCAAATTTAGAAGGTATTTTATGAACTATCAAAGTAATAAGACAATTTGATGTACATTGAGTCCTACGCGCGACCTCCAAAACTTGGACTTTTTTCCATAGTAGCCTTTCACGCATAATTTATCACATGCATGCATGACAGATTTTATATGGACGATTGACTTCTTACCAATCTCTTTACAAAAAGGATTTAGATGTCGCGTCTAATATTTTTATAGACATAGTTCATAAAACACCTTCTAAATTTGCACCCTATATGAATTCAATTGCGTTGTAGCCTTCCATTTTTGTGCGCAAAGCCATTTTTAAAATGTTTTTTATAGAAAACAACCCTCGGAAATTTCCTGCACTCGGAAATTTACTTTTTAAAATAATTTTAGTGGTAAAGCTACTAGCAGACACCAAACTACCCATGCTTCCATAAAGTTTTCACAAATGTTGCGGAATTTGCAGTTTAGTGAACGTTTTCGAACTGTGTAGTTTTTTATACATCCTGCAGCATGTGCATACAATGACCACAGATAGCATTTCCAGCCGACTATTTGAAATAAATATAAAATATATATTAAAACAAAACAAATCCGAAAAGATCTTCATTCTCAAACTTCTTCATTCGCTAAACTCAGTCCACTAACTAAACCAAGTTAATTTTTACATCCACATCCCTTATATATTCCTTTGGTAAAATATGTGTAACGAGCAGACGCAACAGTAAAACCAAAAAAACTTGACTCTTTCAATGGACCATTTGCATTATAGACTAAATTTTCATCACAGCTTCAAAGAGCATCACAAAATTAGTAATATTCCAAAGTTTCGTTGCGAAATGTTGTAAAATGCGGATAATATAGCCTTGCGAAGTTTTCCGTTTTTCAGTCATTTTGTATTACAAATGGGAAATTGACAGCCCAATCGGGTGTTGGGGCATCAGTTTCCCGTTTGTAATACAAAATGACAGAAAATTGCAAATTTCACAAGGCTACATTATCCGCATTTTACAACATTTCGCAACGAAACTTCGGAATATTACTAATTTTGTGATGCTCTTTCAAGCTGTGATGACATTTTTGTCTAGATCAAAATTTAGTCTATAATGCAAATGGTCCATTGACATGTTGATAAGATAAAAATCAGATTTCTATACAACACTTAATTTTGTACACACTGAAACGTGTTTAGCCAATTTATGAATTATATTATACTTTTAGATAATGCGAGCAAGCAAAAAATATGTGGTTATTGAAAAGTTTTATAAGAAAAAATAAAAATATATAATTAGAAATAGAAGCTACCTTTATGCGCAACTGTCCAAACTAAAAAAGAGAAGAAAATAGTTATTTATTTCATAGTTGTTGGATATATATGTAGTTGACTAAAACGTCACATTATACTTTATTTTTAACTGATTATGCTTTTCTTGATTTTCCCAGTTACCATGCGTATAAAATGCAAATGTCATAAATGTTGTTTGGGTATAGGTTTAATTTAGCTTTTTTAGTTAAATGTTTGACATAGCATAAACATTGGTGTAGTTTTGCTTTATTTTCCCACCAAATTAGACGGTTTGTCAGAGGGTTATATATGTAGAGTCTGCCGAAAAGTAAGACCAACGGATTGTTATTCAATATGATTATCAAACAATAGATGTCTAACCTCCACCACTCTGCGTATAGACGGCATCTTCAAATATGATCCTGGTTTGTTTGGACAACCTCAAACCACTGGCCGTGGGTTTTAATAGTTCCTTGCCACTTTTATGAAAACCTGAATAACTAAACACCTTCCCACTATTTAGCTTTTTTAATAGATCTTGATGGTCAAAGAAATTGTTGGAAAAATTCAACTCTTGTAGGTTGCTCCATTCTTCCAAATCGTTAGGCAACTCAGTAAGACCACAACCAGACAAATCCAACTTTTTCAAGGTACCTCGAGGTATATATTTCAACAAACATTTTTCTGAAAGGCCTAGAGGGTTGTTAGATAGATTCAGTTCTTCCAGTTCATCACAGAATTTAAGACCCTCAGGTAACTTTCTAAGTCGACAACCGGACAAATCTAACTTTCTCAATGTACCCCAAGGTATATAAGCACGTTGGTGAAATTTAGCGAAATGTCTCCCACTCATGCGGGCTCGTATTGTCAGCGGACATCTTACACAAACTGGCCAGTACTGTGCAAAATGTAAAATTTTTAATTTTTCACTGCAAATCCGCTGGAAAATGCGAGCCTGTGGGACTGGGAGAAAAATTGCTGCATGTGGCAAGCGTGAACCCCAAAAACGTGAACGAAAATGGCTTAGTGGGTTGTTAGATAGATTCAGTTCTTCCAGTTCATCACAAAATTTAAGACCCTCAGGTAACTTTCCAAGTCCACAACCGGACAAATTCAACTTTCTCAATGTACACCAAGGTATATAATGCCAACAAGATGAAGGCAAATGGCTTAGATGGTTGTTTGATAGATTTAGTTCTTCCAGTTCAACACAGTATTCAAGACCCTCAGGTAATGTTGCAAGACCACAACTGGACAAATCCAACTTTTTGACATATCTATGAGACTTAATTATTGGAGATATGTCTGAAAGGCTTAGACGTTTGTTAGAGAGATCCAGAAACTCTTTGGGGTTTTCTGAATAATCTGTTCTTGATTCTTGTCTGGGATTTTTTATTGTGTTGATGCTTTTAGTCCGACTTGGATCAATCTGATGAGATGGTGGGCTAATAGAATCCTTAGCATTTTCGTCTAATGTTCTCAAGTCCATGTGGAAAATAGCTTCTGCCCTAACTGCAGATAGTCATATACCTCTGTAAACAAACAATGAATTGATGTTAGATGTTAGCAAACCGTATTTCCTCTACTTAGCCTCCAGCTTTTTTTAGCCTCCCCTTCTAATTAGCCCCCAGTTCAGAAGAAATACCTCATTCCTCGATACTGGAGGGCACTCGGAGAGTTCCGAGACTGCATATCTGCGCCAGCGAATTGAGTTATGAACCATGCATGCAAAAATGATACAATGGGCCAATAGACCTTTCCCTTTTAAGTGAAATTTTGATCTAGATATGCCTGGACAAAAATTTCATCACAGCTTGAAAGAGCATCACAAAATTAGTAATATTCCGAAGTTTCGTTGCAAAATGTTCTAAAATGCGGATAATATAGCCTTGCGAAGTTTGCCGTTTTTCAGTCATTTGGTATTACAAACGGGAAATTGATAATCAGATGATCAAACTGATTATCAATTTCCCATTTGTAATCAAAATGACTGAAAAACGGCAAACTTCGCAAGG